AAAAAAAAAAAAAATACCAACCTATATCTAAGTGGTAGAGTTTTGAAGCTATGGCATATGCATATTTGTTAACCGCTCAAATTACATGTCATAGTTTATAGTGCCATTTTTTCTTTTTTCTCTGGGGAAAGGATCTAGATTTGTTGACTAAATTTTCATAAACGGTTGCACCATATTTAGTTTACCTTTTGTACAGTTAACAAGGTATTAGATTCTACTATTACATTGCTATAGTTATTTTGCCGTGCAAAATTAGATGATGGCGTAGATTTCCGCATGCATTGCATGACCTATGTTCCAAGTTGCTTGTTGAAACTAAATTGTTATATTCCCTCCGACTCTTTGCAAATACCCTCTATTGCTGAGAAGTTTTGAGATCTCAGTGAAGAATCATCTACATTAATTATATCAATTAGAGGCAACAATTGATAGGTCTTTAAAAAAAAGTAAAATAAACACATCATGATATATGATTTGATATATGTTTTGTTTGAGGGATTTTGTTTCAATTATAGTTAAGAAGAAATGGCATTTGCGGGAGTAGATTTGTTGTTATCCATAATCTAATCCTCAATTTAGTATGGTTGTAGTTTTAAGTTTTTAGTTTTGATTTTTAAATTTTAAACAATCAAAATTAACAATTAAAAAATAAAAAGTATCCATTTATTGAGTATAAAATTTTTAAATAAATACTTAAAACTCTAAATTTAATTAATTTATAAAATAATATAATTTTATTTTAGATTTCTAAATTTTTTAAAATCAAAACTAAAATTTAAAATCACAACTAAACTAAACAAAACTTAAATATTCTAATACCTCACTCTTTTTGCATATATAAAAAATTAATATAAAGGATTCGTACACATATAAATATTTAAGAGATTTTTTTGCCATTCCCTATGTTACGTTTATAGGTGATTCAATAAAATAATACCAAACTCATACTCAAATGATAATTGTCATGAAATCATAATATTCGCACGTATTGACTTCTCAAAAATCATGTCAAAATACACAATGCTAATTTTCGCTCGACATTTGTCTATTAAACTTTCATATGGATCAAAACAAGTTGCACCACGATGGATCTTTCGTATTGACAACAAGGAATCAAACTCCACTACCGCATTGCTATAGTTCTTTTACCATGTAAGTGTTGACGACCACTTAAAAATGGTATTAAGTGTAAAAATATTAAAGAAAAAGGGAGTCACCACTCATCCAAATTATAAGGTGGGACAAGTCACCTAAAACGGGTCTGCACAAAGATCGGGGTTCGGGGGTTCGGTTAGGAGTGAGGAAAGGCATACGCGCACCTCACAATCCTCCGTTTAAACACGGTTGCATACTTTAAAATTGGGGTTTAATTCAACTTACTTATTATATTTATGTTTGAGTCTTAATAAGCAAACTAAAAAAAATTAAACCAAATTGAAACATTTTTAGGTTTTTGGACTAAAATGGACGAATTCAAGAACATACATGCAAAGCGAACATAAATAAAAGTTAAAGGACTAATTTGATCAAATTCAAAACATGGCGGACTGATTTGGTTAAATTCAAAACATGAAGGACTGATTTGAAAAGAGTTGAAACATGTGGTCTAAATTGCTTAATTATGAAAGTTTTGGGTAAAATTAAAATGAGAAGGTAATTAACGGAAATCAAGGATTTAAATTAATTAATACAATAATTAACTTAATTAAATAATTAATTTAACATTAATTAAAATTAATTAATCATGTTATTAATCTTTAATCAAGATAATATAATTATCTTAAATAAAAATGAATAAAAATGATTAATTTATTTTA